TGACTGATGAGAGGGCGGTGTGTTGTGTGTGTGTGTGTGTGTGTGTGTGTGTGTGTGTGTGTGTGTGTGTGTGAGTGTGAAGATGTAGGTCACCAAACTAACACACCTGCTATATCACTTACAGCAGTTCCTGATGGAAACGCGTGTTTAGAGCAGAGGGAAGACACTCTACGAAAACATAAGGAGGTATGTGAGTTTATGTTAATTATGTTATCACGAAGTTGTAAAAGTAGTGATTTCTGAAAGTCCATTTTGTGAAATGACTCTTGGTGCAGTCAGGTGTTTACAGTGGATAGCAGTCTAAAAATGAGGTCAAGTATGTAAACACGTTTTCCTGTTGATATATTAATATAATAATTATATCAATAGGGCCTATAATAATAATAATAGTGATTTATTATAATAACTCTAACTTAATGGTGTTGGTTGAAGAGATTTTAACCCCTCCAAATGTGTAAAGTGCTTTGAGTGGCAAGAAAAGCTCTACATTAATGTAATTTATTATTAATAATAATAATCATAACAATAACCATTATCATTATTATAACAGTTGATATGTTATAATCATATTTGATTATTATTGGTTTGGAGTATTAAAGTATTATGATAATATTCAGAATAAGGGTCTATTAGTATATAATATATTAGGAATTGTTGTAATTAGTACAATTAGTATTGCTATTATTTTATTCATGTTGGAGGTTTAAGGAATTTGTTTTCAGTGTTTTAAAAAAAAATAGGATTCATATTTAAATGATGGTGCTGCTTTACTAACTGATATTCACCGTGTAATTGTTGATGTGAATAATAGCAGCAACAAGTCGGTATAGTCAACATGAATTTTCAAGCATGGTGTATTTGAACTATGTTATGCTTTTTACTAATTATTGTATTAATGTAATTATTCATTTTGTTTTATGAGCTCATATTAATTGACTATGTGAATTATTAGTACTGAAAAAAATCACATTGCAGGACTATGTAAGTGTAAATAATATAAAATATACATTTCAACCTAAAGTCTTTATGTTGTGTTACGTTACGTACATGATCTTGTATCACATTGCTTTTACGCAATCTTGTTTGTTATGAATACGCTGTTTGCATGAGAAATGTGCTCATGCCAGCGTAATGCAAACTTATTGCACCATTGCATTTCCCAGAAGCACACGAGTAAAGATGGACCAGTTGGTCAGCTCCGGGGCGGTGCAGGGATCCAGGGCAGGATTCTCATTTTGGATACACATTATCCATCAATTAGCGAACACCTGGCCATGTCACGTACACATTAGAATCAATCAAAGTCTTTTGAACCAGTTATACACTTACGCTGATGTATAGAAACATCTGAAATGTAATCATAACCTATAACCATTAAGAAATCAGATTTATATGGAAATGCCATTTTCTGTGTTTATGCATGTGCAGTGAGCTCAGTATTTACACTCTTAAAAATGCTGGGTTAAATATAACCCAATTGCTGGGTCAAAACAACCCAATAGCTCGGTTTGTCCCTTTTTAACCCAGCATTTTTTAGAGTGTATAAAGAGCGTTTTCTGCTTTGCCAGCCTGTTCTGGGGATGCTTTTTAAAGTTTCTTCACCCTCGTGAGCTGTTTTGAAAACTCTTACAGTGTAAACATCAGAGCGATCTGAGCAGGTCACATGAAGCATGTAAGACTAGAGTCTCGGATTGCCAGCCGTGGCATATGGAGCAATCAGAAGTAGGTACAGTGTCAGCCGAGGCAGTCTGTCAGTGAAAAACAAGTTCATGGCAAAGCCTGACATCTGTGAGTCAGCAGCTACAGGAAGTGATGCTGAGAAAATTACAGATCAGCTGCAGTGCTACTGACAAACCCTTTACAAAGATAGATGGATAGATAGATGGATAGATAGACGGATGGATGGATAGATAGATCGACGGATAGATAGATCGACAGATAGATAGATAGATAGATAGATAGATAGATAGATAGTCAGATGTATAGACAAACAGACAGCTAGGTAAATATATAGAAAGACAGATAGACAGATAGACAGACAGACAGATAGATAGACAGACAGACAGACAGATAGATAGATAGACAGACAGACAGAAGGATGGATGTAAAAAATAACAGCCTCGTTCTGTTCTTGTGTTCCAGGAATGTCTGGGAATAAGTATGTTGTTAGTGAGACTGTCCCGGAGACTGAAGCCACGCCCCTCTTGACGCCCCTCGGCCCAGAAGAGAAGCAGGCTGTGGGATCACAGGTGAGCATGACTTCTGTCCTCACAAGCTCTGCTTATTTCTGTCGGGTTATTTTGAGCTAACTAGCACTAATTTTACATTACCTGGGCAACCGGCCAATCAGAGTCTCATATGAACGGTTTACAGTGACACAGCATGTGCTGCGCTGCTTTAAATCAGCTTCTCACACATGAAGATAATCAGACTTCTTAATGGGTATAAAACAGACTTTGTTCTTTTTCTTAATGAAAAATATAATTTATTAGTCATTTCTTTTGATTTTAAAATATAGCCTGGACATTTCTGTCATCATTGTCTGGTTTTGTTTGTGTGGTCAGTCGGAGTACGAGCCGGTGACGGTGTGTGTGCCAGCGGAGCTGCCGCCGGTGGTGCCCGTGACGGGCGAGTCGTTCTGCCAGTGTCCAGCTCAAACAGAGCTCAGCTCAGACGCCCAGATCAGCCCCTACACCCTCAGCTGCACCTGCGGAGAGGAAGAGCAGGGTGAGATTCATTACATTTCATCAAGCGTTTGGACACTAAAGAAAACCGAAAACAGCACACGGAGCTGACTTGAGAAATGTGGCTTGCACTTTGTCATACATGACCTTTCAAAAGTTTGGGGTCAGTGAGATTTTTATTCAGCAAGGACGCATTAAATTGATAAAAAATGATCATTTACAATGTTACAAAAGATTTCTATTTCAAATAAAGGCTGTTCTTTTGAAGTTTCTGTTCTTCAAATAATCCTGAAAGAAATGTTTCTCGAGCAGCAGATCAGCATATTATACTGATTTCTGAAGATCATGTGACACTGAAGACTGAAGGAACGATGCTGAAAATACAGCTGCGCATCACGGGAATAAATTACATTTTAAAATATAATGCGAAATGGCTATTTTAAATTGTAAAAATATTTTACAATATTACTGTTTTTACTGTATTTTTGATAAAATAAATGCAGCCTCGATGAGCATCAGAGACTTCTTTCAAAAATATTTAAATTAATTAATATTTACCGAGCCCACAAACTCGGTAGTGTAAATAAAATAAATATCTAAAAAATAAAGCACTTATGATCTTTAACTATGACATGCAGTCTTAAGTATAGAATAATCCATTTGGTTTATATCCAAATAACTAAAAGTAGACATTAGAAATACAAACATTTAAGAATATTGGTTTAAAACATTATAAACGGGGTCAGAAATGAACCAAAAATATTTTTTAATTAAGTCAAAAAAATTTCAGAATAAGAATTTATTTCAATTAAATAATTAATTATACATTTTTGACATAAGAGTCAACACACTGCTGATTTTATTCTATTAGAAAAGCATTAACTCTGCAATAAAAAATGCACCTGCTATGTGAAAAAAAAAATCAACCTACTTATAAACAGTCAGCTACAGTACAGTAGTAAAATAATGCCATTTAATAAAAAAGAAGAAAAAACTAATTGAATATTGCTGTGTTTTTCCACAATGAAGATTTGAAATCATGGTTCGTTGTGTTTGTCACTGTGTTAAGGGTGTGATTGGGTTTGGGACGAGGAGAGCAAATCATCCCCGGTGTCTCTGAGCTGCTCTGACCGGAAGGTGATCTTCCACTCGGAGTACAGCTGTGGAACCGCTGCCATCAGGGGAGCCAAGCCTCTCAGCGACGGACAGCACTTCTGGGAAATCAAGATGACGTCTCCCGTCTACGGCACAGATATGGTGAGATACGGCAAAGTCCTTTTAAGTCATGTCACTCGGCGGCCATCTTTGAAACGCCTCTCGGGCGTGCAAGTGCAGCTCCTATATCTCTTTGAATGGGGAAACATCAAATTCTCCAAAACTGTGCACTAAGCTTACGATTAAATTTCATATTTGAAGTCACCAAAGCAATCTGACAACAACTGTGTCATAAATGTTGTTACTTTTGCTCAAATAGCGTTATAAAAAGCTTATTTTTCAGGCTAGATCAGCCAGTGCGCATGCGCAGTCCTGAGCGCTGACTGTTTCTATAGCAACCGGGACGCTTCTAACGGCAGCTGCAGTGATGCTCTGACTTTACCGCTTAGCGATTGGCTCTTTCATTCAGAAGGTGGGGCTTCCTGCGATTGAGCGGCCATATTGAGCGTGGCATTTTTCCCCATTCAAAACTATACGAGCTTTGGATAAAGTGACTGGATGTACAAAGACACTAAACTACAACACTGACCATATATCAAGATAAGATTAACAATGTTAATAATAAGTATGTTTTATGAAGTCTTAGTAAGAGTGGATGTATTTTGTGTGTTTATGAGTACAGATGGTTGGTGTCGGGACATCAGAAGTGAACCTGGATCAGTTCAAACATAGTTTCTGCAGTCTGTTGGGCACAGATGAGGACAGCTGGGGTCTGTCCTACACAGGTGAGGTCAGAGGTCA